TCTTTCTAGGAACCCCTCACACTAGATGAAGAACCGTCGTTTCCCCCCTGGGTGTACGGTGGAGGAAGAAGGGAGCTGCCTCCCCAGAAGGAGAGGCTGGGTGCGTCCAATTAAGATGCAAATTTTTTCTCGTCTCAAAAGAAAAAAAAATTAAAATAAAATGAAGAAGGTATTTCAAGCCACAAGCCAATGTTCAGCTTTGCTTGAGCTGTACAAAGTCTTTAGAAAATAAAAGGCACAATGGATCTTTATTCAGTCATTTGCTCGTCTTCTGAAAGAGAAGTCTAAGGGTGACTCAGCAGATACGCTACCATTGAAAGCCTGTGTCGCCAGGCTGAAAAGAAGATGGGGATGGGAGGGAAGTGAATGGATGAGGTTAGGTCCACCACCATCAACAAAAAAAGTCTTCTCTGAAGATCCACAATCCCAAAGCGATTTCGTCAATATCGTAGCATACATAAAGGAGTCAGTATCCAAGTGGAAGTCATATTATCCAACTGCTGTATTTTCCCAGGATTTTTTCCCCTCACTTTTCACTGCAAATAGCAATTGCCAGACTCCAATCCTGTTTTTCTATAACCAGACCATGGACTGCCATGAAACAGACCCAGAAACAGACCCTTTGCCTCCTTCCCAACGGAGATGAAATCCAGAAGCTGTCATACAGCTCAGAAGCTACTTGCTATGCAAAGCTTCACAGCTCCTGTTTTGTTTTCCTTCTGCAAGGCCAAACTAAGAAGATTGTGCCGTTTGATTGTTGAGAAGGGTTTTTTTGTGGTTGGTTTGCTCTTGTTGCTTTTGCAGTGTGTTCTTTTTACAATGAAATAAAATCTGTAAGGATTTAAAACAAACAAGTGGAAATTACATTCACAATCTTGAGGACGGCATGGCTACACAATAAATGAAGCTGTAAAAGAGAGTAAAGTTAACCTCAGCAGTAAATACAACCAGAGGCAAACTTAGGTTCCCCTGCTGCAATGGAACTAAACCTACATACTTAATGGCCTGTGCTGAAAAGCATCTTGTGACAGACCTTACTCTACTAGTGACTGCTTACAGCAATATTCTGATGGCACCAAAATTCACTGAAGAAGAACAGAGGAATCTTTAAAAGTGTTAATTGCTATCTGGGTATTCTCAGACATAGTTCATGGTAAAAATCAATCTACATCTGCTCTCCTTTCTTACATGTATATATTGCATGTATATATACCCTGGTTGTTTTCTTCCCTTCTGTATTTTGAAAATCTGGGGAAGTAGACAGAATCTCAGCAATGGCAAGCACATAAAAAGACCTATTCGTTTTCCGTGGTAGAACAAGCATTGCATGTTTTTATACATACAGTATATTGCTACTTTATTGCAAAGATTAAAAAAGTTAATTTAGCTAAATTGCTGGTACCCCACAAATTGACGCTCAATGAATCTCAGCTACTCTGTGACAAACAATTGTGGGTTTTTTCCCATATCTTTCCAAAGTCCCACTACTAGCTTAGTTTCTGTGTTTGCCTGTGATGCAGCGAAAGCAGTTTGCATGTTTTAAGGCACAACTTTCCTCCCACTGCTGAGATGCTCCCAGATGCATCTTTAACTTAATGGGTAATACATATTTGCTGATCTTTTTTCCAATGATGCAAGTAGATCCACCAGCATCTTACCACTGCTCTAGCTGTCATCCACTAAAATTCAGGCACAGGCAAGACCAAATGGAAAGGAGTCTGAATGTAGCAAAAGTGCCCCAGACCCTACCTGGGTGACCAAATGTCATATTGTTTCTTCAGATGTAAGAGTGATCAATCCCACTCTTATGTCTGAGGAAGTGGGCTTGTCCATGAAAGCTCACATTAAAATATACCAGTTAGCCTTTAAAGGGCCACTCATATTTTGCACTGTACTGTAACATGAAACATCTTAATCTCAACAATCCGTTTTAAACTATCAACTTGCCATTCTACTGTAGCTACCAAAGTTACATCTACAAAGGTCAAAACTGCAAGAGAAGCTTGGTATTGAGCACTGATTTGTGCAATGCAATATCTTGTAATTCTTGATTTATATTTTGGAAGACCGTGGGAAAATACAGCAATTTAACCAACATAAATATTTTGCCATCAGTTTGTGAGGGACTTCCTACAGTTCTGCCTTCTGCCTTCATGATGACATTTGCATATCCCCAACATCTGGGGCCCAAACCACCAGAACACAATTTCGCTTTATTTTGCTTATTTTATTTTATTTTATTCCCTTGTGCATTCTGTGCAGTTTCTAGGGAACAGAAAAGGAAACAGATAATGGTGCTGGCATTTTAAGGGACTTGGTCCATTTATAATTGTTTTGGGGTGTAAGAAGATGCCTCCCACTGAGCCAGTGTGATAGTTGGCCATCTAGGTCAGTATTGTCTACATGGGGAGAGAAAGTTCAACCATAAAAGTGCTACCCATACCTATATATCTGGCCTTAACCCACCTCTGTCTCCTGTGGCCTGACCAGCAAAAGTAAAAAATAAAGCAAGACAAACAAAAACCAGCAATATTGCACTAAGAGATGCAATCAATTTGTAAATGGATTGCAGGACCACCATCTGACACAATAAAACACCATTTTAAAAAATTATTAGTTGAAATCCAATCACTTTCGGTTTTGTTTTTCTAACTTTCGTTTTGGGGCAATTTGAGAATCCATATACCCTTTGGAACACCCCAGGAGCAGAAAATTGATCCTGAGACCCAACAAAATAGCCCATCTAGTGTGACAGCAGCTCTTCACAGTCTCAGGAAGGGTCAAACCTACCTGGTGATATCAGACATTGTACCTGGGATTTTTTGCAAGCAAAGAATACCCTCTGGCACAAAGCTAATTGGGGCATTTGGTAAAAGTCAGACCCATCCAGAGTGCAGTGTATCATTTTGGAATTACTAAGGCTTAGCATGGGCTGTGTTTGAAGAGTAGCAAAGGATTCTCCTTGCTGCACCTTCAAACTAAAATGCTGCAGGAATAAAACTGCAAATCCGTGGTGGAGCAACCAAGCTTCCAGACCTTTTACCTAAAGTACACCTTTAAATTAAATGGTGCGAGTAAGACAGAAGAAGAGGCTCTAGAGAGTGGCTTTTGAATGCCCTAAACAAACAGTGTTAAATTAAAGTAGTGTATATTTCCAATTCCTGAATGCATTTGAGAACCCATTCACAATGGTCATAACTACCCACCCTCAACACTTCACAGAAGAAAATAGAAATACTATATATATAGCCACCATGATGTCCATTGACCAAGGTGCTGTCCTGCAATAATTCAAGACCCAGGTTTGCCAGTTCAGCTAAAGGTATGTGAGAAAACCATGAAGTCTCTGGCAATGTGCTGTCATGATGCAAATTACACTCCAAGCAGCTGCAGCATGAAAAAAACAGGGGGCTGTGCAATGGGCAGTACTTTCAATGCTCATGCACATTGCAAACTGGCATATTTATGGGTCATAGATAAGTACAGGTAACCAGCATCTATAGTCCACTTTGGTTATTATACTGCAGGAAACCTGGGGGATGCCTAAATGCTTAAAACGAAAACTGGATTTCTCATGGATAAAGTAAAACTAGAGATCATTTCTAGTATTGCTGAGTCTGTCGATACAGTGTTCAGACCTATGGAATCCTATGGGGCTCAAGAGTATGCTTCCATGGAGCTAATTAACTGTAGAAGCAAGCACACACAATAATTGTTTAGCTTGCAAATTCTATGAGCTCTAAGCAGCTTAGCCAATGGCAAGGGATGATGGGGCCTGCAGTTTAATCATATGATGGAACCCCCATTCCTCACCAGCGCTATACATTTGAATGGAGAGAGAGAGAGAAAGTGGGAGGATGTGCTTCTTACAGCTTCAAGCGGCCCTTGGGGAAAGTTTTATTTCCATCCTGGACACAAGATCACCAAAATGCTGTATCAATTATGATATGCTTCTTACAGCATCAAGCCGCCCTTGGGGAAAGTTTATTTCCATCCTCAACAAGATCACCAAAATGCTGTATCAATTATAGTGGCTAACAAAAATATGAAGGTCTAAAGGCAAAATGGTCCTATTTCCAATTTCTTCAGCAGATGAAGAAGTGGGAAGCCAAAATATTTCAACACTTCAGCGTTTCTATTATTTTGTTGCTCTTAGGTTCCTGTGGAGTTAGGGTGACCCTAGGATCCCTATCTTGAAAAGACATGGGCAGCTCTTGCAAACTCAAGGCTGGGGTTCCTAAACTGAGCCTATCCATCTCATCTTCCCCTTTCCCTACTATCCTCCACTTCTCCCAGCATTGCCTTCTGGTGAGTCTTCAATTCCCAGGATATGTCCACAGCAGGATTCCTTAACTGCAGACCGCCTGCTAATTCCTTCCATCCCTCTCTTTCTTTTTCCTGCTCCCTCCCTCTCTCTTTCTCCACTTCTCCCTCAGCAAGGCGACCCCACCGCCGAGAGCGGCTACGGGGCAAAGGAGCAGCAACAGCAAGCCCTCTTCCTCAGGGGTCCGTCGGGGCGAAGGCGCCAAAAGCCGCCTTGAGGCGCCGAGGTGAAAGGCGAGGCGAGGCTGGGCGACTTGGCGCCTAAGGGAGGGGGCCAGGAGCCACCTCTCCGCCCCACCCTGCCTTCTCTCCCCATCCCGCCAGCAGTCCTTCAGGCACCTACGGGGTGGGAAGGTTTCTGGGAGGCGACCGAATTTATGGCACCTGCATTGAGCGGGCGCCCGCTGGCTGCTTCCCTCGC